CATAGCATGTTCCTTTAGGCTCATCTTCAAGGAATTATTCAGAAGTAAATGCACAAGGGTTTTTCCACAGGTAAGCACATACTCACAATAAGCATCGGTTCCATAAAATCATGTGTCCAACAGCAAAGCCAGGGGAGGCTTGTAGCATCAAGGAGCCTTTGCCAGTTTGTAGCTAGAATATGAGAAGGGTATCAAACAGGGCATCTTACAGTGTTTGTATGTGTCACTTGTCCTTTATCACAACATACAAAGATACCCCAGATAGCAGAACTTACAGGAGTGCGTCCCAATAATTATATAAGTGATATAAGGGACATTCGATATCCCTGCTGCTGAACATGCACAGAGAATGGCGGTGTCTTCTAGCACAAAAAGTGAGTTTGTATTGCTTGATGTCTCTTGGCTTGGGTCTAAGAACCAGATCCTGAAATGAACAGCAAAAGTCTGAGGTCAGTGAGACCAGAAACAAAGCCCAGCACTGGGATGAGTCATAGTGGAGGAAAGAGAAAAAAGAATAGCATGGTCTGAAGCCCAATTCGTAACTTGAAATCCACAGTGTCTGCACAGACGCGCTGTTTTCTGACTGTTTGTCTGCCAATGTACATTGTATTCCTGATGGCCAAGGGCACAACAACAGCATTCAGAATGAAATCAAGTGCTTCAACAGTGCTCCTAAATTGTAGCTCAGGGTAGTGTTTATGTTCCTGTAGGCTTCACATGTCATTTTTCTATACTCCTAAAGCCAATAGGAACAGAATGTTTTTTGTTTCCATGGCAAGATACAGGAGGTGAACCAGGACTCTTTCAGACACAGTACACAGTTGTAAATCACAAGTTCTTTATGTTACGTAGTTGACAGGAAAAATGTTAACATGTAAAATTATAATAAATGGGTTAACGGATAGAGGAAGAAATCAGTGCAACCCATTGAGAAATGCAAAATAAAAACAAAACAAGGAAACTCTAGCCATTAGTATTGCTTGACTCTGCAATAACATATGCATAGGCAGCCATCCAGCTACTGCAGAAAAAAATGTTAACTAGCAAAGCTTTTCCCAGAATTGTGCTAACAGGGACATTAGTTTCGATTATGTCTAAGGCAAGGTAAACAGATCCATTGATGCGTTGGCCGGCTTTGCCAGAGAGAAAGGACAAATGACACATACAAACACTGTAAGATGCCCTGTTCAATACCCTTATCATGTTCTAGCTACAAACTGGCAAAGGCTCCTTGATGTTGCAAGCCTCCCCTGGCTTTGCTGTTGGACACATGATGTTATGAAACAGATGCTTATTGTATGTGCTTACCTGCGCAAAAACCCTTGCGCATTTCTCCTAAATAACTTCCTTGAAGATGAGCCTAAAGAAACACGCTGTGTTCAATATCTCATAGGACATATGAATAGATGTTCCCATCAGTTTTGCAATCTTCTGATGCGGGGGCAGGGGCTGGCAGCAGCTGCTTTCTCTGCTACTGCTACCATTACTGCAGGGGTAGCAGCTCTTCGTACTGCCATCACGGCTGTAGTCCTCTCTGCCACTGCCACCATGCAGCAGTTGTTCAGGCTGGCCCTGCAGCAGAGGCAGCCTTCTCTGCTGCTGCCCTTATGAGAGTCTCCCGACAGAGCTGCTGCTCCCCCAGGACAGAAGGGCTCTGTGACAGATCCAGTGGTGAGCAGAGCTTCAGCTCTGCTTTCTTCAGGCTGTCACTCTACCTTTCTCCCCTAGGAGTGGGGAAAGAGAGTGAGGCACTATGGGATGTTGGGGGACCAAGAGAAACCCAGGTATGTTATGTGTGGTGCTACAAAATGTCCTATAGAGAAGAAACTGGGACTTCTTTGCAGTGGATCCACCATTTTGGTAACAGATCCACCATCTTTGTGGAGCTCCATATAGCCTGAACATATGCACGCTGGCTTTTTGTAGTGTGATATGAGTGTCTATAGCACTACAAATATAGTGCATGTCCAAGACATCAACATACCTCAAAATTGTACTGGAAACGTGACAGCTGTGTTCATATCAACAGTGACAGCTTGGCATCACCCTAGAGGTGTTTTGATAATCTAGTCTTACTTCTTGCATAGCACAGGCTGTAAAAACCCATAAACCAGCTGTAATGAGCTATAGCAGATGGGGACTCCCTCTGGCAGGCCTGGGAGGGGCAGGGGCTGTGGGTCAGAAGTGAGAGGCACCAGCAGGGCTGGGGACAAGTTGGGGGTTGAGGCTTGGGAATGAGGGGTAACAGCATGGGCAGCGAGAGAAAAAAAATTGGCAGGGAATGCTGAGCACATACGAACATGCGTGCACCCCCCCCCCTCCACCTGCAGGAATGTCTGTCGGAAAAGGGGTGGGGAGAGGGGAAAGGGGGGCAGAGGGAGCGAGTGGGGCTGGGACCAGGCAGGGATTGGGAGGGTGTGGAGCAGAGCCGGGCCCAGTGCAGCTGCTCCTTCCCCCATGCCCAGGGTCATTGCCCAGCACCAGCGGCCCCTGCAAATCCACTGCCCCCCAGCCCCGCTCTGGCACCAGCTGCCTCCCCACACCAGTCTCGGCCCTGCACCACCCAGAAGGGCCCGGAGCCAGGGGCCAGGGCAGGGCCAGCCTTGGCTGCACCAGAGGGGACAGAGCTCCCGGGGCCCCCATGACCACTCCACCTTGCTCCGAGTCATCCCCAGGAAGAGCCCAGTGCAGCCCAGTAGCTCCTTTCAAAGGCGGTGGCCAGGCATGGAGGCCAGGAGCAGCAAGAGCCCAGCTCGCATCTGCAGCCTGCCCTTGTCCCATGCAAAGATTGGGGGGGCCACATGAATGGGGCCCCAGCCAGGATGGGTCATGGGACAATCCCCACAGTGCAGCAGGGAGCGGGGCAGAGTGACTGATTCGCCCCTGCCCTTACCCCACTCCCTCCTGCACTGCGGGGATATCAATATGCCCCTCCCCCTCCCAAGCCCAGACAGTCATAAAGAAAGCAGATAGAAAGAAACTTACCTGCCTGCTGGGCTGGCTGCGATCCTGGCTGCACAGTGTATCTGAGTGTGTACACCGCTCCTCCCCTGCTCCAGCAGTCTGCGGCTGGGCTACCCTGTGGCCGTACCTGCTGCCCTGTGTTTGGTGGGGGATGAGCCCCGTTAGCCCCACCCTTCTGCTGCCTATAATGGCACTGGCATATCAGGGCAGCTCAGCACCACAAAGCAGTGAGGGGAACAGCCACAGCTGGAACCATGTCCTGGTGATCAAAGCGGGTAGGGAAAGCCCATGACAAAAAAACCAAAATCAAATGCCAAAATATATAGGTACTTAGAATTTATTTTATTATAATGATTGAGGCACTGGTAGGCTTCCAAACTGCTTTAAAATTGTAAATATACAAAAAACCATTGTGTTCAACTGATACCTATATATATAGTGATGTTTCATTTAAATTGCCAAAAAAAAAGCACATTTGAAGGTTTTTAATTGGAGAATTTTAGATTTATTTTTCTGAGCTTCTGGGATTTTTAAACAGAGAAAACCAGGATCTCTGTATACAATAAGGATTTAGAGATTGGAACTTGGAAGGCAGGACAGGATGGCACCTTAGAGACTAACCAGTTAGTCTCTAACATACATGTGGTGATGCCTGCTCCAACGTGTTGTAATTAGAATGCATTGGAGCAGACTTGAATCACTCCAGTGCCTTGGCATCACATGTATTCAGCATACCCATGCTTCAAAATGGCGGCGAGGGCACTTTAGCTAAAGTTCATTTGATGAGTGCCTCCACTGTCATTTTCAAGTGCAGGATGCTAAATACATAAAGTGCTGTGGACACTTTCACTAGAGCGAGTCCCAAGAGCCACCCTAATTAAGGCACACCCCGGAACACGTGTAAAGACACCCTAAGGTGCTATCTTGTTTTGCCTTCTGCCTGGCTGCAAACTAACATGGCCAACAACCTGAGACTGGAAAGTGAGTGGGGTGCTGTTACAAGGCAGGAGAGATTAGGAAATTGGGTGCATTTTAGCAGAGGAGGGATACCAGTATGTAGGTGGGAAGGTGCCTTTAGTTTTTTTCACTAGTTGCCCATTTTTGTATTACCCTGCTAGGATCTAAATTAAGTCTGGTTCTTCTACATCAGTTTAAGTTTCAGAAGAGACCTGAGAAGAGGAGGGAGAAAGATGAGCATACATACTATACTGAAGGGAAAGAAGCATTTTTCTTGCTTAGCTTCATCACTATTCCCCTTGCTATACAGTAATATCAGATGTGGGGACTGAGCATGAGGCATTTCCTAATGCTTGTGCTCTTTCTGCACACCAGTTTTAACAGATTTGGAAGCATTTTCACTAGGCACTTTCTACTCTGTGCCAGCATCAGAGAAGGACATTTGTCCATGACCCCCAGAAATAGGAAATCCAACCAACCTCACACTTTACTGAAATGTTTACTAAAACCCCAGTGTGTTCAGATTAGACTATTCTGCTGCGGCTCCAAGCGAGCTCCCCCCAGCCAAACCTGTCTTTAGAAGCAAAAGGACAGAAAAGGTGGAGATATCATTATAGATGTTCCCTCAGATATATGTCTCCAAGGATGCTTTAGTTTTGGGGTAGTGATTAACAGTTCAAAATTTCAGTAAGCTGTGGATGGCTGAAATGGTACAGTCCAATTCTGCCTTTGTGGCCATATAACTGCGTGAAAATCACTGGGCCAGATTCAGCTGTGGTGCAACTGCACTGACCTGTTTATGTTGCACCTGAATTCAATGGAGCTGTGAGTCTACAGAGAGCAGTATTTGGACCTCCTAGGTGACTGGGGGAAGGCAGTATTAGTGGTTCTTCTGCATCAGTCCTGAAAGGTCCTGATCACTGCCCCACTCTAGCGAAGCATTTGAGACAAGAATATGAGTCATTCTATTAAAGGCAAAGATATGAATCATGTTTGTCACCTGGAGAATGTGCTGAAGTGCTTGGCAGGATCAAATCCACTTGCAGCAGCCACCAAGGGTGGGGCTTTCAAGTGAATTTCTTCCACCACAGCGTAGCACACTTGTTTTCTGTACCTTCCAGCCAGGTCTGCTACGGTAAAGCCTGCAGCTCTTGGAAAGAATGGACTTGAACTTAGCCACTGTCTTCACTGTTCTTGCAATTGTAGTCATTCAGACATCTGAGGGTAAGTCAGATTGTACATTAGCAATTTGCTGCAGTTATGTTAAGTTTCTTAATCAGAAAGTAAAGTGTCTCTATTCAGAAATGAAACTGTTTAAAACTTCAGGACTCTGGGAGTGATCCGAGATGATAGCTCTGTTCTCTGTACCATAAGCTGGGAAAATGTTAAGAGTGACAGCCTGATAAAGGCAACAGCATCACTCCTATTCATTTCCTTGGGACCAGGATTTCACCCTGAAACATTTTAGTTCATCACCTTTTCTGAAGCAAAAGGCAGTTGGAGAGCAGATAGTGGACTTTGTGGTGCCACAGAGTAGCTTCAACAACAAAATGACAGATCCTCAGAAAAGTTAATTACAGTGAAGTATTTGTCACTGTAAATTTTGCTAAGAACTTTGCAGTTGTAGCATTGCAACCTAGCACTAGCATTGCAGACCTTTGAAGTGAATGATGTGCTGAAGCCCCTGGCTAAGATTTCACCACCAGTCTCTTTGGGGCGTTGCTACCTTGGCGGCAATTTGCTCCTTGAGCTTTTTGTCACCTACTGGATCTCTAGGACTTCCTCCCATATAATTAGGGGAGCAATTTTTTGTTGTCCTTTTGATTGACTAAGTTGTACCAGAAGGAAGTTTTTTATCTCTGTTCTATGAGACACTTTAGGATGGCAAAGTTACTCACGGGCAGAAATTACAGTGAAGTATTTGGATCCCTAGGTCTGTTGGATCCCTCACTACGTGTAACAGGTGCCACATTTCTGGAAGATTTTATAGCTATAATGTAGCAAAGTCTGTTTTTCATCTTCTCACACTTTAACTTTGGCAGAGGGTAGATTTAGGCTAGATTTCAGGAGGCACTACTTCACAGTCAGGGCGGCTAGGATCTGGAACCTACTTCCAAGAGAAGTGGTGCTGGCTCCTACCCTGGGGGTCTTTAAGAGGAGGCTAGATGTACACCTTGATGGGGTCGTTTGACCCCAGTACTCTTTCCTGCCATGGCAGGAGGTCGGACTGGATGATCTGCTCAGATCCTTTCCAACCCTAGAAACGATGAAACTATGAAACCAACAGATTAAGCTGTTGTGACTTGCAGCCTGTTTACATACACAGAGTGTTGCTGGGGGATAGTGCCCATCCTGTGGATTTTTATATTTTTCTTACAATTTTCTATTGGGAAGTCATTTCTCTCTGTCCTTGGGGAGGTTAATCAGATCTCTCCCAAGGTCAGGACGCTGAAGAGCCTGATTCAGTGAGAAGTTACACTCCCAGCCCCTGGTGTCTTTGGTGAGACTACAGGTTGCACAGTCCCTTGGAGAAGCTGATTATAAATAGTTTTAAATCTGCCTTAAAACTCTACCTGTTAAAATGGCTTCTGTGCCTGCTGGTCTGGAAAGTTGTGTGTACTCTGTTCTACCTGCTTTCATCACTGGGCAGTCTGCAGAAGCTTGCACAACAGGTGCAAAGTGTTAAAGCAGGGGTACAGTGACTTCTCCTAAGATGTGTCCTTCTATTCTCTGGGTGCCAGATGTGTCAGGATATCTACATCACTTATTTTTCTTATGCAAACATACTCTGCATTTAATAACAGTAATTAAACAATAAACAGGCCAGTTATATCCCGATTTGTGTAAAGTTTGCCCCTTCTCTCGTCCCTCATCTTCCCCTCTCAGGGCATGTCCCCACATACAGAGGCATGTGGTTGTCACAGCGAAACGGCTGCTTTTTGTCACTGTACACACCCTTGCACGTGGAGTTGGTGTGGGACAAACTGTCCCAGGTGGGGTAGAGGAGGCTGGGGCTAGCACCTGTGCTGGCCCCAGCAGCCTTACCGGGGATTGTGGGGAGCCTTCTGGGGCAGCAGTGGTAGCAATTCAGCTGCTCAGAGCCTGACTGGCAGCCAGAGCATAGCTGTGGCTGGCCAGGCATTGTTTCTGGCTGCACACACTGCTACCGCATGTGCCACACTGCTTGTTTTAGCATCAGGGGGTTTTCTGGCACCAGGATGTCCCAATATCAAAAAACCCTCGCTACACTGCAAATTAGTGTGGGTACACATGCACTGCATGCGATTTGTGGTGCCTCAAACAGATTTGAGGCACCGCAAACTACATGTACACACTCATTGGGGTGCACCCTCACTCTCTCTCCCAGGGGTGGGTACAATGTGGCTTGTGGGCTGGATGCAGCCCTCCAGGCCATTCTATCTGGCCTGCATGGCCCCTAAAAAATTTAGAAAATAAATATTTATCTACCCCTGGCTGCCTGTCATGTGGCCCTCAATGGCTTGCCAAAACTCAGTAAGTGGCCCTCTGCCCGAAATAATTGCCCGCCCCTGCTCTATCCACTCTGCTCCAGTTTGGAACTAGAGAAAACACGAGGACTTGTAAAGTCATTGAGCCAAATTTTGCTCTCTGCTACACTTTTACTTTAGCCAAGTGGTCAGATATAACAATCAAATCTCGCCCTCAAAGGTTCTCATCTGTGTGAGTTTTTTCCCTTGCTTGTTTTCAATAGATTTGGTCTGGGTTCAACAGGATATGGGTGCGCCCTCTGGTGACTAAAATAATACCTGTGAATTCATATGAAGTAGAACAGTGGGGCACCTGTCTAATCTAATATAAGTAATAAAATAATCAGTAAAAATTTGCAAGATTAGCACCTGGCATCCGGAAAAATCAGCACAGGAGAAATTAGATGAACTTCCATGGATTTCCGTGGATTCGCAAGTTAACCCAAGCGGCACCTGGTGGTGCAATAGTTAGAAAGCAGGGAAAATCATGTTTTGGGGCATAAGTCAGATCTACATTACAAATTTAAAATGATAAAAATAGCTCTCATGGAAGAAATTCAGGAGCTAAAAATAAAACAGGTGTTTTAAATTAGCATGATAAAAAAAATCTAAAACAATAAAATCAGCTGATAACGTGGACATAGACGATATTTAGCTAACTTAATGGCGATTTCTGTCATGTGGACACAGGAAAACTGTAACGTGAAAACAGGAGAGGTGCCATGTGGACAAGCGCCCCCCGTTCTCAACTTTCTTTGTACCAGGACCCATTAGTAAATGTTGATGGCCAGTCCCAACCCAGTGCCCCGCACTCCTGGCTCGCTGCCCCCCCACCAGTGCGTGGAGCAGTGCGTGTGGGGTGGGGGGGCCCCAAGCAGCCCCTTGCATGCTGCAACTCTGCCAGCCTGCAAGGGAAAGGCCAGATTTTCTCATGGTTTTCTCTTTTAAACAAAAATCAATTTTTAAAGTTTGTTTACGACCCTTTCGTATATGCTTGCAATCCACTTTTGGGTCACCATCCATGGGTTGAGAAATGCTGAAGTAGAATTACTGTAGCCACAATGGTCCAGGGAACATAAGAGAAGCAAGGTTAATATTTTTATTGGACTAATGACACAATTGGAAGAGATGTTAGACAAGCTTTTGGGTAAAAATGTTATCTCCCAGGGCAAATATGAGGATGGTGAATTTTGAGCTTGTCTAACACCTTTTCTGGCTATATAGTTCATTCAATAAAAAAGTATTACCCAACAAATCCTGCTCCTCATGGTGCTCCTGAATGCTGCTTTACCACAACAAGTCTTTGAAGAAAATATGAGGCTGTGTTTAGAAATCACGAGATTAACTAAAAAAATAATGAGGTTTAAAATGTATGTTAGGTGGTTTTTAATTTGACTTCCCTGGCAGTTTCTTAAGCATTTAGAGTATGTATATGGGTCACATTTTAAAGTTCTTCTCTGTACTTATGAAGGCAAGAAATTTATTTTAAAAATTAAAACTGCAATTCTCATGGAATTACAGGGCAATGAGGATTTGCAAAAATAACTCTGAACAGTGATAGGGTTGTGAGTTGGCAACACTGTAAGTAGAAGACAAAATTGTGCAGCCTTGTGCATAAGGGGTCTTCACTGGATTTTGACGTGGTGGATCTGAGTTTGAGTTGTTACCTTTCAGGCTGGGTCCATGGAGGTTGCCTTTTGGGGTTCCAGGGTAGCTGTACTGGCACAGCTAGAGGCAAGGAAATGTGGGGCATTATTACTTGATCAGCATTAACAAATGAGTAGTAAGTGGAAAGCGTTAACTGAAGTGAATTCTAACACATGCCAGTAAAAAAAAAAAATATTAAAAGAGAACTAAAACCCCCCAAATATTGACAATTAGAAAGGTTTAAAAATACACAATAAGGGCTCCAGGCATCACTGAGCAATGGAAGTGAATTGTACAATTATACAAATACTGTACCAATAAGTGTAAACTGGCAATGTGGGAAGGGGCAAGGGAGGGCAATATATTTAAAAGAATTGAAAATGTCTTATTACCATCCTTATTGGCATATCGTGCCCTTCTGTTTCAGGCTTGTTTGTTCTTACAGTAGGGCCAAGCCCTTCAACCACTTAATCATGTAAATCAAAGATGCAAGTAGGTCATATGAGCATATGACTGCTGGGAGGCCTCACTGCCCCACTGCAAGTCCCAGGAAGTTCTCAGCGCAGTAAAAGTACCCTCGCAGATTATCTTCATTACAGCACTTTGCATGAGTTGCTCAAGCCTAGCTCTGTATCGCAACAAAGTTCCTCTAAGGAAAAAATGCAAAACAAGCTGCTTCAAACGAAAGAGACCCACACCCACAACGCCTTTGTATGTAGTTATTGTCAGGGTATGACATAGTTTGTACTCCCATTGAAAGCCATTTCACATCTCAGTAAGTTCATTGTGTACTAATGTTTGTGTGACTCCATCTGGGCTATATACTACTTGGCAATCATACAGCTGCCTCCTCAGACCACTTTCACATGATCAAAGGGGTGAGCACATACTTGGCAATGACCTGCCTGCCAGTCACAGGCCTCTCCACCTATTCTGTCTTCTGGTTCTCTCCTCTATCTTTGCTACTGATTCACCTTCCCATGCTGTACACTCACTCTTGCTGATGCTGTCCACAATAATAGAGTAGCCCACTTTGCTAGAGCTAGCCCACTAACCAACTCCTACCCTCCA